AGGAGTTTAGACTATGGCCCAAATCAGGGAAATTCACAGTAAGGACCGTGGAACCTCATCAAGTACAATTGCGCTATCTTTGGCCTTGCGGTGTGCGCGCCTTCCTCCGAAACTTCCAGCCTCAGCCACACGGTTTAGGGCTGAGGGTTTAGGGATTAAGCGTTTAAGGATTAGGGTTTCGGGGTTAGGGTTTCTGGTTTAGGAATTCAGGTTTATGGTTTCCGAGGCTTTATAGGGCGCTTGGTTTATGGAGATAAGCACTTCCCAGTCACCCTGGAGTGCCCTACATGTTGGAGCACACCATGAGGCCCATACTGTTGACCACTATCTCATGAAAGAGTACTTGGAGGTATGTGGGTTCTTACACATACCCCAAACAAGGTAACCAGTCATAGTGACAGATATCCTACTTCTGGCCCAGTCCCAACTAGCTGCCATGAACCCTCGTACATCCGTAAGGGCAGAGCAGCCACTGTCCGGAAGGCGTCACCACACACTCCTCTCGTGGGCGTGCCACCTGAGCATCAATACAAACACGACACTCGCACCATGTGTTTGGGAGTACAATGCTTTGGGGAACAGTGTAGCTGTCTGGAGATTGTTAGGTGGATGCTCAGGAAGGGTGGGTCCCTCTTCCAGCCCACGCAGTGTGGACCATTCAATCGTTTACTTAAAGAGTTTTGGGTTTTTGGTTTAGGGTTTGGGGTTATAAGACTGCAATCCATCAAGACAGGTTCCTGCAAAAGCGCCATTCACAGAAGAGAGCCAACAAATCCTCAAGTGACATTGTCCGTCATAGAGGGGCCCAGGGATCGGCCCTCAGGGGGAATAAACTTCTTGCTTAACTCGCAGCTTGGGTATGTTATTGGGGTTCGAGGTGTTCTTGAGAGCCTTTAGCAGGATTTGGGCAGAAGATTTCCTTCCGTGCTATATCCTGCATGTCTTAAGTCCAAAAGAGGAGGATAGCCTTACTGGACACAGGAGCAACAAGAATGGCTCGCAGTTTAGGATTTAGGGTCCAGGGTTTAGGGTTGGCGAAGCAGATTCAAGTATATACAGCAAGACACCTCAGACTTCACTTCTCTTGGGTATTGGGGCAAGAAGGTAGAGCTCGAGCTAAGCATCAAGACGTTGTCTTCTACAATTCCCAGCTGGCTTTGAGAAGAAGTGCATCTTGCATGGGTATATGCTAAAGTAGGACCCCTCTATACCCCGAAACTATTACTGTTATCTTACTACTATCATGCATATGATGATGGTTACTATTGTTGGAATCCTTCATTTGGGGGTTAAACAGCCCGTTACGTTACTCTGGTCTTGGGTTCCGAACGGGATACCACTCATCCCCCACGCTAAAGCTACAACGAGAAGCTTCGCTAAATCTCCCAGTTATTCTCTTGGCAGAAACACATCGGACCATGAGACTCCTCAAACAATTCTAAGACCACAACCCTGGCTTGGAAAGTGAAATTGTCTGTCCTGACCCGCAATGTATGCACCAGGTACTTACCATCTAAGACCAATCTTCCTAGCAATCGCCACGCAATTCCGCCTTTGGGGGTTTTTGATCCAAGAAGAAATTGTACATGTTCACTTGTATAAAACCTAAACCTTAGAATCCCCTACATATATCTTTATGAATCCAATCCAAAAACCTAAACCCCAAATCCCCTGTGCATCCCAGTAGAAGCCCTATTATACCCCCTCCACCGCTACACCCTTTAGCATGCAAGCGTAGAATCTTTGAACAAAACCCCAACATCAGCCCGCTGCCAGCTTGTCCCCGCATTGCGGGCAGAAGCGGCCGAAGTCGGGGCGATGACATGCCACGCACCAAGCCTTCAAGAGTCGTAATTATTGAGTGAGGGCTTTAGGGATTAGGGTTTAGGGCCATAAAGTCCCCCTTTAAGTAGATAGGATATGGGGTCTAAGGGGATCTTATTATAATATACCCAAAGCCATATTCTATCTACTTAAGGGGCACTATAGGGTTTAGGGGTTCGGGTAGGGAATTGACAGGCGGACCTTCGGCGTGCTGAACTGGCTTACAGAAATCTTAGGAAACTTACGTACTGCAGAGGCCTAAATAATTCCCAATATCATGCTCAGCGTCTAGGGTTTAGGGTTGCTCAGGCCATTTCATGGTCTTGTGTCCATTGGGTCATCCATTATCTCCTCTAAACCTGTATTTTGGACCATAAAATTTGCAATTCTTCTACCATAAAATAGCAGGCCGAGTTGGCCTTTGCTTCAGATTGGCACTCTTCTCGGAAGCCCAGGGCATTGAGGTTGTAGGTACCCTTGAAACCAGCTACAGGGATATGGAGTCGAACAACCCTAAACCCTAAACCCGACACCGCAATGGGAGTGCAGGTCCTTTAGTTGAATCGCGTTTTTTTGGTGGTTGAACCCAGTAAGATAGTATTTCTTATTTGAAATACTATACCCCAAAAGGAGGATATAATCTTACTCTATATTGGGTACCCTAGTACCCCCCCAAATACCACACTACTCAATTGGGCCCGCTTGTAACCCCTAACCCCTAAACCCCAAACCAAAATCACCTGCGACTCTGAGTGTTACCCAGGACCTGGGGGGTCGGATTTGGAGCTTTGCGTAAGTAGGGGGATTTAGTTACCAACCCTGATGATGACTTAACAAGAAATGTTCAACTATTAAACCCTAAGCCCTATCCTACTATAGTAGGTCCATTTTCTTTTCCATTATCCCGATATAACCCCTATGTGTATACCCTACTATATTATAGTAGTTCCCATTTTCTATCCACAATCCCTATATAATCCTTGTATAACCTCAATATAACCCCTATATGTCCAACTTTGTTGGCTCGGGTAACCGCATTGTAAGGTAATTCTTGAAACAATGCAGGCGGCAGCGAACATTAGGGTGGATGTTCTCACGTGCTCAGCGCGGTTTCGGGTTTATGGTTAAGGTGTCCTGGGGCTAGGTAGGTATACCGAGAAACAATGAAGTAGTGTTATCCCAAACATTGACTGTAAGAAACTACAAGGTATTACCTGCGGATTTGCCTACCTACGGTGGATACTAAATTCCTTCATGACCCTACGTACCTCATACCCTGGTATTTATGGTCCTATAGTATACTAAGGTCATGCAGGATTCTTAGCATCAACCGTATCATACATTCCTGAACTCCAAGGTCTCTGAAGGCAGTTTGTCAACAGCTTGCCTTGTTCTCCAGGCAGCCAATACGCTAATTGGAGGAGATCTAGGGTTTACTGGGTTGCTGTTA